GGGAGCGATTTTTTCTTGCAAGTAGATTGTGGCGGATTACTTTGGAGTGTGGAAAATTTACGGGTCATGTAATCCATATAGAGAGATAGTTCAGAGTGGGTTTGTTTCACTAATGCTAACAAGATTCAGATGTCATCATTAGAAGTTTCTGCATATTGAATTACTTGAGTAGATGTGAAGGACAGTTTATTAGGTATATTTCAGAAAACTATTAGACTATGTTTGAGTATCCTCTTTCATAGAGGATCAAGCTCAACTTCATTACATCAGAAATAATGGTTCATGATTCAATGAGTTGAAAAATTTCGAAGTGTAAATCGTCTTTTCATTGATAACAGGCCTAATTTAACCTTCATGAGCACATTATTAAGAATAAAGTTATGTTATGCAATGAGTTGTCGATACACGATCTTTGAACACGAAAATACATGGCTTTTTAATACAAGGGTTACGAGTTAGGCAACCCATGGAACGTTCAGACTAGGAGACCTAGATAAATACCTGTTCCGAGAACGACAAATCATAGGAGTACCTAAATCCACTACTGCATTTAACGTAGATAACACTTCAAAAATAATGATGAGACCTAATTCGAATGATGTATTGCCGAAGCATATTTATTCAGATTTAGCTGTGTCGACCTTCAACTACCATTTTAAGCACTATTGCGCTACCTTGTTTAGCTCATAGGTTGATGCAATTTCGCATATTGTTCAGCTCATGAGCAGGAAATGCATACACGCTTTCGGAATTATATGCAAAAGAAGGTACTTACCCTTACAAAGACTATCATCAATATAATTGAGTAAAATCTGAGAAGAGAAATTGTCTCAAGACACCACTACATGTTACACCAATTCTGACAGGGATAGACTTCGACCAACAAAAGTGAATTGAACATATTGGATGTTGATTGCTAAGAAATAAATCAAAGCTATTATGCAAGGTGTTTCAGCCTCTATGATATGGCAATTTATCTATAAATTGGCATTTGCTAATGGTTGAATATTCACATGCCGAATATTAAGAAACTTACCATCACTAGAAATTTACATAAACCAAGTTCAATATTAAATTATAAACACACCAATAACGTCAAATATCAGGAAGAATTCGGTCTACTGCACTCAGCTGTTTTTGACAAACTTCACGAATATTTTTGAAAATATTCACTTGATCAGCAGTAAAATGTCTATATTCGCTATGTCAGCTAACAATGTGTTTTCGTGCCATAACCTCATAATTTGTGTCACGAATGTTAGAGTGTTCCGAAATTTTTTTTCACTTATTTGATCAGTCATAATTATCGACAACTAAAGGATTTAAATGGATGAAATTAATTTTGAACGATTACGTGTCAGTCATTTCGGAAACTGTTTTAAAAATTTGATGTATTTTGTTTACTATTCACCTAGAAGAACTTTGCGTCCTTAACTGATTAGACACTGTCAAACAGATGAAGACAGTTCTAATGTCATCACTCCACTATGCAAGTAGCACACAAGAAATCTCCAAATAGAATACATTCATATTCTTTTTATGCACCAACGTTTCTTGTTTTATTACAATATAGAAATGAGAACAGTCTGTGATGGTCGATACTTGGTGTTATTCTTCAAACGTCGTAGATTGTTCGTCTTGATATCCGTTACTCCGTATTATCCCAACGGTGTGTAAATCATGAAACGAATACGAAGTGTTGATTGCGTTTATCATTGAAACACATACAGATATCCAAAATTGCAGGCACCAAAGGCAAACATGAAACGGTAGAGCTCAATAGCAGGTGAGTTAGCGTGCTAGTCGAATGAGAGAGCGAGTGATGAAGTCTATAAACGAGTGTGCGAGTCAACGAGTTAGCGAGTAAGTGATTTCTGCTGACAGTAAAAAACAGAGAACGTTCTCTAAAACGACCAGAATATCTCCTCAAGAATATCAACATCATTTATGAATTCGAATTTGTTGAGATAGACATAGCGGGCAGGCAATTTTAGTATTAAGGTGGAGATGTAAAACGTAGTAGATAAGTGAACACGTCAATGATAAAATAAAGTGACTACCAACAAATTGACTTTCTTTGGTCTTGTATGACTATGCCGCGTCAATTCAACAGTCACAATTTTATGTTCACTACAAAACAATATTCACTTCGTTAGTTCAATTTTCCTATCCTCTAGTCACTGTTTGGAAAGTTATTCACATTTATTTGATTCCCCGTTCCATATACTGTGTTATTTATTTTCTACATCAACAGTGTAAATTTACGTTGTAGATAAAAACAGATAAAGTATAACAAAATGAATGGCATACTTGTTCTGACTTTGGCTAACAAAAGACTCTGTGCTCGACAGTCTAGAGAATAGTTAAGGATCACAGCTGTAGCAAATTCTTTCTTCCACGAAATGCTTAATGACGATAAAATACATTTCAATTCTAAAGCAAAATACGACAAATCTTAATATGAAATAATGATTTACAATGTGTTCGGTTTCATGTGAAATGTGGTGACGTCCACCTAACCACTATACAGGGCTTGAGTCGAAATTCAATACAAACATACATTTGATGAACAATGAAATATGTCTATCCAGAATATCGCCTAACTTTCAGTTAATCAATAACAGTGATTGCTATGGAACGTGGCACAAAAAGTGATGTGGCATAGGTCATCAAAATGATTTTTCATGGCATCCTAGTCAATAAGGGTGAGACATATTTTAAGGTCCAGTCTGAAGGCATTGTGGTTACAGATGATACCTCCGTGGCTCCATAAACTGAAGACGTGAAATCTAGGTAACTCCATACTACAAGTGTTACTAGACTCATTCGAAATAAGACAGTAGATGATTTCAGTGTTCATTCATAGCTGAATCAAGACCTTCTTTGAATCGACGGACAAAGAATCTGTTTTCACTACATTTTGTCTATACAAAAGTAGTAGTCATATGTCAAATGAAAATTTCATTCAATTTTGTTCTCTCTACGTCGATGATTATCAGTCATATGAATGTAATGATAGAGAGTGACATTCATTATCATTTCGAAAACTCTTATCATGCTCAATAAACAAAAGAAAATGTCATATAGTCTGATTATGCGGATAAAATCTGCTGATAAACAACAAGGAAGTACAATCTTTCATATTTCAACAATGAAGAGAACTGAGGTCAACAGACAGATCACACCATAACATTATGTACAATATTATTATCACTATTGTTACTTTAAGAAAAATATTTGTTATGTGAAGATACATAATAATTTGGAAGAAACCAAATAGATTCGACCATAATATGTGATATTGAAACACGTATTCCTGACTGAACCGTCAAGTCACTGAAGTCGATGTGAATAGTTTGGTGTGGACGAAAGGAGTAGGTGTTGTATTCCGGTCATACAAAGATTGTTCATCTTGAATTATTTGTCGTCGCTGGACAATATTTTCTACTTGATCATTACAATCATAACGTTTTGTCGTCAAACACATCGTGTCGAGTGAAGTAGATGTGTTAAAGAAAACTATCTAGTTTTTCAATTACGTTAAGTCTGTAATCCGTCTATTCATAGGTGTTGCATAATTCAAGTCGAAACTTTTTTATATATATATATAATGCTTGCAGCCACGGTTCGAAATGAGGAAAAGTGATTGTACTCTAAAATACAAGTTAATAATCTACAATGTATGCAGGCGAGTAAATGCGATTGCATTCGCTGACCTCTCATCTCAGGTTGACTTACTTACTTCGAAGTAATCAGTGCATATGGGAACTGAATGATCCCGCATATATTACATTTGCAGAGATCCAACGCGTTCAGCTCAAGCCACATACCCTAATCATCCTGACCCATCAAACACGCTTAGTGTGGCCTAGGAATAATCGGATTTCACCATGCGAGCCGTTTGGCAACAGAACATTGCAAAAAGTTGTCAACCTCTCGAATTTTTCTCAGGATGTCTCACCCTCTCGGAGACGAGTTATAGCGCTTTCAGTGGAGAACGGCTAGCATCCTACTGTGCCGTCAAACATTTCATACCCGCAGTAGAAGGTCAAAATTTCATCCTATTCACTGGCAATAAACCATTGTTGTGTGCTCTGCATACAAAATCCGACGGCTACTCACTATGAGAGTGCAGACATTTTGAATATATCTCACAGTCCACGACAAACGATCGACACCCCGAAGGCGAGTTGACCTTTGCTGACGATACTATGCCACATAATCGAAGTGAATGCAGTTACTTCCCCGGTGCTTGATCTTCCTGCCGTGGCTGTCGTCCTAGCACGTGATCCCTTCTTTACAGAAACACAACATTCTACATCTCTCCGACGTCTCGAAGTACCTTCAACTTCCACCTTAAGTACTATGCTGTGTGATAACACAACTGCTGTTCCTCGACCCATTGTACCCTGTGTTCATCTCGTCTTGAATAACAGCAGCAAATGTTAGCTTCTCAAAATCAACTGGCGGGAGCACTTTTGGGGAATCTATCAATTTAACAAGAAATTCCGGAACATGAAGGTATGGAGTCATATCTCAATCCAATCTCAAAATTCATTTTTGATGCAGACAGTGATCACACTGTGGGACTGTACTGTGCTGTACCGTTTTGTTTAATTGTACTAAAAACACACACGTTTCGCCTGTAAACGTTTACATGATCACGGTATTATTTCAATACCACCATATCACCAATAAATATATCCTTACTGCAATCTACAACTGTCCTTCTAATATTTATCGCACTGCGAAATGTATCCTATTAAATGACATGTAATTGGTCTGAAGTGATGATCATGGTCAACTGTAATCCGACACTCTCACACAATATTTAAAGAGGGCAAGTAGCATATTCCGAACAATGTTTCAAGTAAAATGTCAGCATACGTCAATGAATTCTCACATGACTGACTAAATATATCCATGTTTGTATTGTCAAAATAGAAATGTCAACAACCAATGGCATATTTTTGGAGTTATTATTAAGATGCATGTTTATGTTAATAACTGGCTAATGTAACTCTTACACGCAAAATCATTGTAAATGGAAATAATTCCACAGACTGGAATAAAAAGTGTTTACAGTAGATTCGAAATTTAATTGAAGGTGATGATGATGATGATGATGATGATGATGATGATGATGATGATGATGATGATGATGATGATGATGATGATGATGATGATGATGATGATGATGATGATGATGATGATGATGATGATGATGATGATGATGATGATGATGATGATGATGATGATGATGATGATGATGATGATGATGATGATGATGATGATGATGATGATGATGATGATGATGATGAGTACTTCCGTTTCTGCAGTGTTATATTAAATGAAATTGACAGGTTAATTATCGGATATCAATATGGGTAAGATAGAGTCAGAGACAGTAATGTAATTACAGTGTTCATGGAATTCTATATTTCAGGTTAGAAAGTACCGAAATAAATAATACCGTGTTAAAAATATCATGATTTGATCGAATTAGAAAAACGTGGAATGGATGTCTGTTTGAGGATCTGTAAACAAGCGAATGTTAGAATATCTGAATGTCAGCATGTTTGTCTGTTATAGTGACTGTATTACGCTCAGAACACTGATGCCAGCATCCACTATACAAATCATTTATTTTAAACATACCTGGTTTGTATGCCGGTAAAAGAGAACACATCACGAAATTAAACAGGAAATAACATTTAACACGAACAAGTTATATAATAGTCATGATTGTGGAGAGAATGCATTTCGGAATATGCAAATAACTTGGTTGATGCTAGGCAATAGATGAGAATGTAAATAACATTCGCCTATTGATATTTCCCAGCATTCACCTATAACTTAATCCTTACTAGGTTATAACGGTGAGGGACACTGACAAGTTTGAAGGCTTCATTTAGTGCGGGTGAATAATCGGTACATGAATAAATGCGTGACCAAATTTGTTGCTTTTCAAAGTTATTGTGATTAGTCAGAAAATAATTTGCGAATCCAATAAACCAAAGCTACTGAACGGTGACCTTGAAACGGGTGAACAGGAAGATTAAGAGCCTTCACGGACGGTGTTTACTGTGAGCTTGACACTATATTATCGGAAGGCATGTTTATAACAAATTGAACATTACAGGAATATAATGCAAATGGCAAAAAGCTCACGGACAAGTCAAAGGAATGATAATAACACAATAGACAACTTATGATATAAAACAGACTTATTAAATTGCACATTTATAACAATATTTTGTTAAATAAAGTTATGTATTATGAGTATGGTCATCACATTTCATAATGATAATGTAGTAATGTACGTTTAGGTAAAATAATGGTGTAATAAATCCACAACTAAGATTCTATTTTGGATGATGATTCGGATAGAGACGAATTGCGTTGCCTTTTCTTGAGATTGGATTATATTGTCAGAAAGTGATTCGTGTTCTCAAGTTGCGATCATCAATTCCGTGAAGGATTTGCATCGTTATTCCATCACTTCGACAACCGCTCTATTATAAACCTTGTAGGTGTTTGAAATCAGAGAGTGATGTGAAGTTGGTATTTTACTTCATTATCGGGTAGCTCAGATCTGATATTCAAGCGGTACGTTTGAACTTTGCGTTTCAATTAGGCTGTATTTTTGTAATGTGTGAATAAATCTCGTTGAATCTCAGTTCATTATTTATTAATAACGTTTAAATTAAAAGTTAAAGTAAAATGGTCCGACTGACATATAAATGAGCCTGTAAATGCCCTATTTCTCCAAATAATAAGAATTCGTTTATGACCTATACTCCATGCTCTGCAACTCCTTTTGAAGTCGATATTAGTGGGAAAGGAAGTATAACACACCTGCTGCTGAATGACTCAGTCTTTAATTTAACAATGAGTTCTACCTGAAGATCTAGAAGTCTCGACAATATAAATAGTGAATTAGACACTATCTATAAACAATTAAGCGATAGTCGTTCTAAAAAGGAGTCACTTGCGGGTTCTTTATTAAAGCATGATGATCTTGACCAAGAACTAAAGACACTGTCCCCGCTTTAACTGTTTTTGTCGAAGGATGTAGTTCCTGCGGAACTTGAAGACGGTATCAAAACACAACCTGTTATCGATTTTATCGCTAGTGAAGTTGCCGAACGAATAACCTCTCGAAATAATGTGATCATCTATAATGTACCTGACAAATTCACCATTATATCTCTATGAAATTCGATATATTCAGGAAGCTGACCTCCAAGACAGTTTATGCTAATGTATTCGACTTAAAAAAGCTCCAGAAATACTCGTGCTCTACCATGTTTAGAATTTTGTAATCATTGTTCTGTTGTTCCGAACTCTCTTCTTTAATTTTAATTTCTCTAGTAGAAGATAATTATCATTAACTCGTTCTGGCAGTGAAAATAACCTTAAAGAACACCGTTCATCATCGAGTGATATTTAAGCGATCAACGTTTTGGCTAGAGTCTGTCATATGATGTAGTGATCATAAAAGTACAAAGTATATGCGAATTGTTATTGTTCAAAAAACGCTGTCTGATAAGTACGTGAACGAAAGGGCATGACCATAAGCGAAATCGGTTGCATGAAAGTTTCTATACGTTGGTAAATTATCTAGCATGCACTATTCAAGATAACTTCAAGATAACCGATTATAAGCGTTATGTCAGAGGTGGAATACTCTCTGAGGAAGCTGTATACCCGTTCTACTGTGATGAAGTTCGCTTCTGTGACGATCTATAGATGTTATTCTGTTCAGAGCCTGAATCTTTCAGAACGCAGTTCAAGTTTGCTTAGAATTATCTTTAAAATATCATCATCTTCGTGTGTCCTAGTAATGTTTTCTGATACAGAAAAGTTGGGTGATATTATTTCAAATAGCACGAAGGATATTGATTTCTTCAGAAGTAAGGCTACACTTTGCTAACGTGTACTAACTACAGTGAAACACAGCTTTACGTTTTTCTATCGACAGAATACATACACGGAAAATTCTCTAACTCGAATAAAATATCTTCTCAATAATATCAATGTAATATATGAATTGTAGGCTTTCGAGACAGAAATACCTGACAGACTAATTAAATATTCATCTACGAATGCTTCCTGACGGAGAAATCCATTTCAGTTTTCATGCGAAATTACAAAGAATTTCATTATCAAAAAGTCAATGTCAAAATTGAACACAAACATACATTTGATGAACAATGAAGTATGTCTATCAACAATATCGCTTAACCGTGAGTTAACCTGTCACAGTGATTGATATGGAACGTAATACAAAACGAGATGTGGAATTGGTCGTCCAGATGATTCTTCACGGTATAATAGTTAATAATTATGGGACGTATTATTTAGTCGAGTGTGAAAGTATAGTGATTAAAACGGTAACTCTAAGGATTGATAAACTGAAGACATGACAACTAGATGATTCTATTTGACAAGTATCACTAAACACATTTGAAATGAGATGGTTGATGATTTCAATGTTTCAGTCAGCCAGTCAGTCAGTCACAACGTAGAACTTCGTACGTACGTACATCAGTTCGAGTTGCCATACCACATTAGCACAGAGATGCAGGTGTCGATTCAAATCCCATTGTGGTAGAAGTAGTAGGAGTATAATCAGAAATCCAAAAGATTAGGGTTTGAAGAAATTATTGAAGGAGTATAGTACAGTGAAATAAATTTGGAAAGAGAAAAATATAAAGACATGAGGAATTCAGAAGATTAGAATTTGGTAGAACACAAAGAGTGGATGCACCTTCTCCATTGCAAACGATTTTGAGCCATGTCATTCAAGGTCTCTAACCATCGGTTGTTGTCCCCGTTGGACAATATTTTCTACTTGATCACTACAACCATAACGTTTTGTCGTCAAACACATTGTTCTCTCGAGTGAAATACATGTGATGAAGAAGACTATCTACTTTTCAAAATAGAAGGGAGGAAATACTAATAATTGAAATAACAAACAATCAAGGAAAACATTACGAAACTGAAATCCGGCATTTCTGTCTCTCTGTTCATCACTAGTCAGCATTGTCAATTAACCTAGTTTTAATGAAATTCTCCAAAAGTGTTCTCCGGACTATATTGAGTTCATCATCAGCTGTGCCTCCAGTACACATTATCTCCGTGGAACGTTTAGGAACCTCTAAGCCTTAATTGTTTCTTGAGACTGTCCTAATGCGTTTCTTCCTGACGAAAACAAATTGGAATTCAGCAGAATAGAATGTAGTTTTCAAAGATCTGGATAGTCTGTCCTCTGAAATGCAAGATGTCATATCTCCCTTGATTTTGATATTCTGTAGTAAAAGATGCTTCGTAACTGTGCAAGTTCATTCAAATTAACATCCTGATTTCTAACTACATTCAATGATTGAGATTGTTAAGTAGCATTTTCCTGAATGGTTTATAAAATTAAATTCAGCCCATCACTATCAATTACGTCATCGGTGAATATTCGTCTAGCTCGTGAAGATGGAAAACAGATGAAATTACTTCCCCTACTTAGAGCATCCAAATCTGCAAAGTCCGCATTAGCCTGTTTTTATTCCAATCGAGCTCCTCTTCGATGGATTAGATGTTCTGTGTTAATTTTGGGGAACTCCTCATTTTAACCACAGACTACTGTTTCCCCATTTATTCATCTACAAATACAATTGTGCAACTTCTACTGAAAGATGTACAAGGAGAAATATATGAATAGAATGGATGGTTGACATTCATTAAGAAAAAACCGTCAGGTTTCAACAGGATATTAGATGTCTATTCATAATCATATTATTAATGACCTCAAACGTTCACCATAGACCTTGCTTACTGCCCTATGAATTCTTCACGATGCAGCGAAGTCATTCATTTGTAAGCTTTTGAAATGATTATTAGGACAACTAGAGAATAGTGGGTTATATGCAAGAACTAACAAAATGTAAGTGATGATGTCGTGTAACCCCATCAGCATGTAGCCCATTTAGGTTGCTGAACGTATCGCGTACTTACAACACATTCGCTTTTAAAAATATGTCAAATACATAGGTAGATATAAGGAGACACTGCACTGAATACTTAATAATGTCCGTCATACTCTTCCTGAACACAGTCACTCATTAACACTATTACATACACAGATAAGTTTCCTCTGTTGATTAGATATTGGTCTACAGCATAGAATGAGCAATGTACCATTGAAACTAATTTTGATGTTGATGAATTAAAAAATTACCCAAAAGCGTTTCTTTCGACAATAGACCGCGAGACTCTAGAAAACATTTTGTTTAGTGTCGACATCATTTTCAAGTAAATCAATACAACCCCACTG